GCCGCCGCGCATCGGGCCACCGAAAGCGACGACAACTCTGAATACCACAACGCGATGAGGCCTGGAAGAAATCATCCGGAGTGGGAAGACCAACCAATAACCAATGGGCAAGTACCAAAGGAAAGCGTCAACATCACCAACTAACCACGACTTGGCTTGAAGCAGAGAGGGGCAACGGATTCTGCACTAGCCAACTGGGCCTGACCGTCCACTAGCCAACCCGCGAAATGACCAATATCGTTTGCTCGGAACCATCCGAAGACGCGATCGCGCAATCGTCGTCGACTGCCCCGGTTCTTGCTTTGTCGCTCTCGCATAATTTTGCGTGGGCACTTGCAGGAAACGTGACGTTCGCTGCCTGCCAAGGTGCGAATCTGGTACTGCTTGCCAAAGCGACAGATCCCACCATGGTTGGTCGATTCGCGCTTGCTCTTGCGATCACTGCGCCGCTGTTTCTGCTAACCAACTTGCAGTTGCGTGCTATTCAGGCCACCGATTCTCAGGCACAGTATCGCTTCGGAAACTATCTTGCCCTGCGTCTCCTGACGACATGCATCGCTCTTGGGTTGCTGCCCTTGATTGTGATGTCGGCCGGATATGCTTGGAGCCTGGCCGCGGTCGCTCTCATGATCGGTGTCGGTAAAAGTTTCGATGCGATCAACGATGTGATGTATGGATTGGTGCAAAAGCATGAGCGTCTCGACCGTGGTGGCTTTGCACGCATTGTCGCTGGTTTCGGCACCGTCGCTGGACTCGGCACGCTGCTTTACTTCACAGGAAGTCTGTTCTGGGCGGCTACCGGTTGGGCACTTGGCCATGGGATTGTGACCTTCACGGCTCCTTACTGGGTCGGGTCGGAAATCGTCGCGCTCGAAAGTGAATTGGCCTCACCTAAATTGTTTGCACCGATCTGGGACCGCGATCGCCTGGTTCAGCTTGGCTTGCTTTCGTTGCCGATGGGATTGGTGATGATGCTGGGCTCGCTGCAATTAAACGCACCCAGATATTTCATCGAGCATTATCTCGACGAGCGGTTCCTCGGCATCTACGCCGCAATCGCCTACGTGATGTTGGCTGGCAACATGATCAGCCTGGCGATGGGACAAGCGGTTACGCCTCGCATGGCGAAGCACTTTGCCGCTGCCGAGTTCAAGTCTTACTTCGGTATCCTGGGACGCCTGATGGGGCTTTCGGTATTGGGAGGAATCGTGGCGGTCGCAGTCGCGTGGCTCGCTGGCGAATGGATCTTGACGTTGCTTTTTACCGCAGAATACGCGCAGTACAGTTCTGTGCTTGTTTGCCTGGCAGCGGTGCTGGGTATCGAGACGGCGACGTCTTTTATGGGCGAAGCGATGACATCAACGCGACGCTTTCGAATTCAAATGCCGGTGCTGCTGGCTGCATTGCTTGCCGCGGCTATCGCATGCGTTGTCTTGATTCCCCGTTACGAATTGATGGGCGCCGCCATTGCCACGGGCGTCGGGGCTTTCACGCAGCTACTTGGATCGACCTGGGTGGTATCGTGGGCCGTTCAACAACGACGCAAGGAGGAAGCATGATCGCCTCCAACGAACGACCAATACGTGTTGCTCAAGTGGTTCATGGTCTTGTCGTGGGTGGCATTGAGACATGGCTGGTTAATGTCTTGAAGACCATCGACCGCAATCGCTTTCAAGTCGACTTCATCACCAGTCGTCCGGAAGCATGTTACTACGACGACACAGTTCGAGCGTTGGGTGCCAATCTGATTCACTGTCCATCGCCTCGCAAGCCTTGGATCTATGGTCCGGCACTACGCAAGATTTTAAAAGATGGCCAGTACGATGCAGTCCATGCTCATGTCGATCACTACGGCGGCTTCATCATGCGAGTTGCCCGAAGCGCTGGCGTGAAAGTCCGCATCGCCCATAGTCATAGCGATACGTCTAGAAAACAGTCGCAAGCCAACTTGTGGCGACAGTTCTATCTGAAATCAACCAAACGTTGGATTCGAACCTCGGCAACTCAAGGGTTGGCCGTTAGCGATCTGGCCGGACGATCCCTGTTTCCGACATGGGGAAACGATCAGCGATGGAATACTCTCTACTGCGGAATCGACACCGAGGCATTTCACCAAACAGTTAACCGAGACGCAATTCGCAAGAAGTTTGGCTTGCCCGAAGATGCGATCGTGCTAGGCCACCTTGGCGGCTTTCGCGAGCCAAAGAATCACGTCTTCCTGGTCGAGATTGCTAAGGCGATGCGTTCGATCGATTCCCGCGCACACCTATTGCTCGTAGGGGATGGCCCCTTGCGCGAAGACATTCAGCGGCTCGTCGACCAAGCGAACTTGCAGCAGCACTTCACGTTTGCAGGGCTCGTCGACGACGCGACGGAAGTATTGCGCGGGGCGATGGATGTA